AAAGCTAATTTAGTTTAAAAAGTGAAAGTGAAATTAAAATAAAACAAACTGAGCTCATTCAAAATAATCTGTTATAATTTCAGGGACTTTGTTTCTTCTCTTTAGCATAAAAGTGTCCATCATAAAAATTGCAAAAGTCCCTCAAGTTATTCATCTTACAGAATAGTTGTCAGATCAAATGAAGGAATAAAAATAATAGCAACTGTAGCATTATTAACAGCTAACATATATTGACTCCTAAAACATGCCAAGGGCTACACTAAAGGCTGTATATGCAGTATCTCATTTAATCCTCCCAACAAACATATAAGGTAGGTATTTTTATTTCGATTTCATCATATAAGGAGGAAAAAGGCATAGAAAGTTTATGTAGCTTATTCAAGTTCAAAGACCAAGGGCTAGTGCCAGGTCCCGAACAGTCCAGTGAAGGAACTCAGGCTCCTGAGCAACAGGCTTTGCTTCTTCCTGAAAGTGTCATGCTTGCAAAGTCCTTGTAAAGTCTCTGCAAGCAGTTACCCTTTCATAGACTCTTACATGGGACATAGTGATGCTCCATGAAAGGGTGAAGGTCACCTGTTCTGCTTAATAAGGCAACTATATGGTGACATGGAAAGTGCATGGACAGAAAAACAAGTTTGAATCCAACTTCTGCCATGTGATCTTTGGCCAGTTAACTAACCTCGATCTTTGGCCAGTTAACTAACCTCTCTGAGTCACATTTTCTGAATCAAAAACTGAGAATAATAATGCTGTATTAGTTTTCTAGGTATGTCATAACAAAATACAATAGACAGGGCGATGACTTAAATATTTATTTTCTCACAGTTCTGGAAGTTAGAAGTCCAAGATCGGGGTGTCAACAGATTCTTCTGAGTCCTCTCTTCTTGGCTTGCAGACAGACTCCTTTTCTCTGTGTCCTCACATGAGCGTGTTAGTCTGTGTTGTCTGTGTCCTAATCTCCTCTTCTTATAAGAACACCAGTCATATTAGATTAGGGTTCACCTATGACCTCATTTTACTTTCACCACCTCTTTCACAGCTCTATCTCCAAATACATACAGTCACATTTTGAGATACTGGGGGTTAGAACTTCAATATCTGAGTGGGGAGGGGCGTGCACAATTCAGTTCATAGTAGTTACCTTTCAGAGTTAAGGTCATGAAAAGGTAAATCAATTGCCTAGAAATTGGGAAGCCTCTAAATTTTAATATCTGTATCTTACACCAGTAAAGTCAGTATTATTTGGCCGTCTATTACCTTTTCTTAGCTGTATACATTGACAGGAATATGCATACAGTGCAAAGGCTAATGTGACAATAAAGGGTTAACACATGGACAGGTTTTGATTTTTAGAAAGATGAATACTACTTTTATTCAACTATTTAAGGTCATCTTTCATTGTGTTAAAAGGACATCTAAGGAAACAAATATAAAATAAACATCCTTACTGACAGCAAATCGTTAATTCTGCATACACTTCAAATCATGGTATATGTAGTTCAATGGGACATTAGAAACTGCTTGGTCAAACACGCAACCACATTTACTTTGCAAACACAGAACGTGAGCTTGACACTGGTTAAGTAACTTGTCCTAAGACACACATAGAGTTAGTTCCTGGCGTAGCAGGTTCTTATTCCTAGTTCATTGTTCTTCCTTCTGTGCTCTACTTTCCCCTGTGGTTTTCCTGGGATCATGGTCTTGACAGTTTCCTGGAGTGATTGTTTGTTTTAGAAATAACACTTAATATCTAGAGAGCTTCACAAGTAGCTACCTTCCAAATTGGCTTCTTACTTCAACCTCAGTCAAATATAAGCTAAAACCTCCTTTAAAAAAAAAAAAATTCTGTGACTTCATCTTTCAATAGATTACCAAAAAACATCCTCACTAGTACCTGCAGACAAAATCTCACCCCCAAATAAGGCACGTTTTCCTAGTTGACACATATGATACGATTAATCTAATAATCAAGATTCATTATATCTCAAATGATGTAGAATATGCACACATTTTCCTAATAGTGTTTCTCAAATGTTGCTTGAACAAACATCAGGACTCAAATAACCTTCCTAAATGCCTCAGTGTTATTTGCATACCTGTCTCAACAGTGATGAGTAAAAGGAAGAACAATTCAATTACAACTCCTTTGAGGACTCCTTGGGGCTGCCTTGACTTAAGAAAAACACCTTCAAAGAGACAAGCACTGTAATAATTTTCTCCCATAGTTCCTTCAATAAGGAATTAGCCCAGAAGTAATGTCACCCTTCAGGAGAAGCTCTTGATACGATCTAGTCACACTTCCTCTCTTACAGGCTCTCCTCCAACAAAGTCAGGTTTTGAAATGAGAAAGGAAGATTAAACTTTGATCTAATCTGATGGGGAAGAAGCAGAAAGCACAGACTTTGGATTTAAAGAGAGCAGCATTCCAACAGAGACACCCTCTTCACAAGCCGTGTGACTTTACCAGTAAAAACAGAGATAACGGGACCTACCTGTTGGTTTGTTATAAAGATAAAATGAGACAATATTTAAAACATGTATCCCTGTGCTTGGCATGGAATAGGCATTTCTTCTTGAAAGAAATTATTGAAAAGATTATAAGAAGAATGAGGAGGATGATGAGTCATTGTTTTTTGAACAGATTGAACTGACTGGTGGCCCAGAGGGAATTTTTGTCTCCGAATTTAGAGAAACAATTACCAAAGCCCCACTTGCAGCCTTAAAAATTTATTTAAAAAGCTATCTTTAGAAAGGTAACAGAACATAATGCCCAGTCCACATTTCACCTACCCACTCTCGGATCTGAAGACGGTCTAAGAGGTTTCTTCAGTAAGTTCAAGGTGATTCTCCCATTAAAAATAGTGTTCTCAAAGTGTTCAGTAAGAGATAAGAGAGCCACCAGTGTGTGAAATAGGAGGATGGAAAGGAGATCTGCTGGCAGGGCATTCAGTAAACGGGGCATTGTCTATAACCAAGGGAAGAAAATACTCTGGGTCACTTGATATCCATAATGTGTAGTTTTCAGCATTTATCATTAATTAAGATGTTTGTAGTACGATATTTTGTCAGTCATGGTGCTGTCTTACATAAATTCAAAGAAATTTTTAACTTGAAAATGTTGGGGGTTCTTGCAGCTGGAAAAAAACAAAATACAAACAAGTGTCTTAAATTTAGGTCAAAGAGATAAGGGATTGGTGATCATCACACAATTTGTTAGCAGAAAAACAAGGACTAGAAGGCAAGGTTGCTGGTGTACAATCTCCTACTGTTTCCACCAGTATAGTCCTTCTCTAAGCTAGATAGACATCCTTACCTACATCAAGAGAATTCATTACAATAGGAGTTAACAGTAACAATAAAAATAGTAATAAGCACTTATTATATACTAATACAACCTGTTACATGTTTTGCATGTATTATTGTCACTTAATATGTACAAAAACAGTATTAATTAAACGGAGAAAACTTAGGCTGAGATAAGATATTGAATCTATATGAATTATACAAAGAAAAAAGAAAAAATTACTCAAGGGTACACTTTGAGAAAATTAACTGTTTTGGGAGAACAATCTGTGCTTCTGACCATTGTATGATCACTGATATTTCTTTCTTGAAAACATTCTCTCCTTATCGTTCATCTACAGTAGCTTACACACCCACTATCAGAATATGATCTAATTACTTCTCAGGAATTGTACTATTTCAATCAGCAAGTGATATTCTGATTCCCTTGGAATCACTTCCAGATATAAACAACATAAAATTTAGAGTCATATAAACTAATTTTGCTAAGGGTTTTTTTTTTTTTTTGTATTTTTTTCTTTTCTTTTTTCTTTTTTTTTTAAACATGAGCACATTGCTTATAAGTAGCAGACAAAGGAATTCAGTACTGTGTGGTACAAGGTGTTTGACATAAAAGCAAACAGCTACAAATTGTTTCATAAATCAATAATGCATGTTCCTATCTAAATCTGAAACGACGACAACTAAAATCCCCTAAAAGTCTTAACAGTGGTGATAGCCAACATTCAGTAATGCTAAATTCACTTCCTTAGGAATGCCATTCAGTAGTGCAAGATTCATTGTCTTGGGGATGTTAATTCATATTTAATTTAAAAGACAAATAAAGCAAGCCATAAAATGGTCAGAGGATGCTGACCAGAGGTCAAAATGGAGGGAATGCTGTGAAATCACTTCTTGATGCTAAGGTTAAGTCACGAAGAATTATTCTTTTGAATGTCAAGAGACATGGTTGAGTATCCTGGATATAAAAATGTTAAAAGACGGTGGCCCTTGAGTTGGTACTGACTCCAACCACTTAAGAAAGGCTGCCTGGCATTTTCTTGAATTTTTCAATTCCACTTTGCCTTTGCATAGACCAGCTATACGCAAATTTGGTTATTATCTTTACAATTTAGACTTTTACCCTTACAGCCTTGTATTATTAAAAAGCAGTGTCTTATAAAACATTCTGGAATTTCTCATAAACATTCATTTATATACATTAGATAAAAATCTGTGTTGTCAATAGCTTGTGATAAAAAGTGCCTATGAAAATAGAAGAGACAGGAAATATTCAGGCCAAAACAACTACAGGCTCTCAGCTTTTAATTGTAATTTAGAGGTCATTGTGTCCAAGCCCTTACCTGGTGCCAGGTGCCTTCTATATACTCACCATTTGAATATTTGAACCAGGAGAAACCTGCTATATCTAATTGCTCATTAGCCCTACTTATTAGCAACGTTTTTTCTTATTATGATAGGGAATCTTTGGGAATATCTTCTTTATGACTTACCTGATAGCAAGGAATATATTTAGTTTTTATGGAAACTAGACCAAGATTATTATGTTTGGGTTAAAATAAAGACACATAAAAATGTATGCGCCCCTTTCCAGAGCATAAACCAGATATATACAACTAGGGAGAGGGAGGCAGAATGTTTGAAAAATTCATGCTTCAAACCTGTTTGTTTAGAGATCATGTGTGCTTTATTTTTAGATTTCAGCATCCCCAGTGATGAATTAAGTTGGGCTTAAATATGGCCACATGGGCACAATTTCTACCCAGAGAGAAGCAATTCAAGGCTTCAGTGCCTTCCACTCCCACCCTTCCAGGACTGATTGACTGACTAATACCGTCAAAGGACTAGCTGTAATTAGTGATCCCACGGTAAGTCATCTATCTGTACCTTGAGCTATGCCATCTCTGGGACTCAAGAAAGGTTAGACAGTTGGAGAATGTCACCTTCATGCAGTAGTCATGACAAGATTGGGTGATCACTATTTTTTGCTAGCCATAATATCTGATTTTAAAAAGTAAACAATAAAATATTTTGCCAAATCTCTGTTCTTACTGTCTTGAAATTTCATTACAACCAAAATAATAAAAAATATTGTCTGTCTTAGAAAATGAAAACAGTTATCTAAATGTGATAAATTGTGCTGCAGTCCCCAAATCCCAGCTGCTTAATTCAATGAAGACATTTCACTGGGCATATATATCATGAGTTAGCATAGTTACTGAGAAGCCTGAAGTGATGGAAAACTTCCCATTTTTAACTGCATTATCATGAATATGCTGCCTGCTTGATATACATTGCAGGGGGAATGATCACTGGTATATCTCACAGCAGCAAATAGATGTCATTACCCAGGAATAATGCACACCCTTCCCCTTATGCCACTGGTCAGAGGCAATCTCATGGAAATGTGCCAGGAAAAGAAGCCAACTTCATATTGATAAACACTGGTAAGGCCTATCACATTACAACTCAGGTCCTATCAGGCTTTTTATTCTCCAATCTAAACACTCCTAATTCACATATTCTTCAAATGGTATAGTTTTAATTTCTCTTCTCCTGGCTTACTTCTACTTGCTGTTCTACTTTAAAGATTTTCAACACTGATATGTGAACTCTTTGAATTCATTGGCAGGATTTGATAACCATGTTTATTTCAGGAAAAAAAAAAAAAGATAGAGCTTTCAATAGATTCTTAAAGGAGGTCAGGGGCCATTACTCCAGTCTCTTCTGATTTTCTTTCAATATGATACCCAGTAGGCACAACATTCTGGTTAAGATTTGAATAGCATCATTCTATCACCGATTCTGGATATATTTTTAAAGACTAGTATAAAATAACAAAAATGCATATTCAATCTTTTGATAGACTGCTGCCTTACACTGAGCTTATTGATCAAGCAAAGTGTATACTACTTGTACTGCTGACAAATTTTGCTCTTTTTCAGCCAAACAATTTGTGGTAGCTTTACTTTTTATTGTATTTTTAAACAGCATTCAAAGCTATTCACTATTGTATTCAGGGGCTCAAGGTTTCCATATTTCTAAATATCAACTCTAACAAAAAGCGTATTAGCTAGCTTTTCCATTCAACTTTGGGTCTTCTGCATACCATCTGCATTGTTATATCAATCATCTACACAAACACTGGACCAGCTCAGTGCTAAGGGACAAACCTTAGAACATACGAATGAAAGTTCTCTCCGAGAAGATGTAACTGCATTCATCAGCATGCTTTCAGTGTTCTCTTTTCTATTTTTTATATATATATATATACACACACACACACACACACACACACACACACACACACACACATATATATCATGGGATATCAGGAAAAAAAGCCAAACTCTCAGAAAGAACTGTGTTAGAACTATGAAAAATAGCCCAAAGCGTACAGTAACCCAAAGTGACTTAACCGTGGCAGAACTTGACTGCATTTTGTTTGGCCAAGTTCCAGCACCCTCCATGGATTTGTGGTGGTCTTAAAACAAAAGCTTACATTCTCACTGTGGGTTCAAGACTCCAGAGGGAGCAGAGCAGAACTTTGTCTAATGTAATTACGTTTTTCTGTATTGACCTGTCAGGGCGCTCCCTGAGGGACTAGGGTAAAACACTCTCTTTTGTTTTGCCTATTTCAGAACTTTCTCAAGGTAGAAAACTGGCTATGCTGAGGACATTTCTCAATAACATTGAAAGGCAAATAAGCCACTGCTAACTGTGTAAACAGACGACAGTTGGAGCAAAAAAGAGTTCTGTTAGGAAATGGGCAAAGAAGCCAGACGTGGTGGTTCATGCCTGTAATCCCAGCACTTTGGGAGGCCAGGTGGGTGAATTCCTTGAGCTCAGGAGTTTGAGACCAAGCTGGGCAGCATAGCAAGACCCTCCTGTCTCTATAAAAAGAATAATAAGTTAATTAAATACAGGCAAAGAACTGGAATAGATATTTTCCTAAAGAAGGCATATAAATGGCACACAAGCACATACAAAGATGTTTAACCTTGTTAGTCGTTAGAAAAGTGCAAACCGAAATCACAATGAGATGCTATATCACACCCACTGGAAAGTCTACCATTAAAAAAATAAAAGGTAAACAGTGAGTGTTGGCAAGGATGTGGGGAAACTGGAACCTTCATACATTGTTGGTAGAAATGTAAAGTGGTACAACCATTGTAGAAGACAGTTAGGTGGTTTCTCAAAAAGCCATAGAATTGCCACACGACTCAGCAATTATATTCCCAGTTTATAAACAAAAGAATAGAAAACAGGTTCTCACACATTTGTACACAAATGTTCATAGTAGCACTATTCACAACAGGTAAAAGGTGAAAACAACTCAAATGGACAAAATAAGGTGTATCTATAAAATGGAATATTATTCAGCAATAAAAAATAAAGTTCTGATGCATGCTACAATGTGGATGTATCTCAAAAATATGCTACCTGAAAGAGGCCACAAAAAATCAAATATTGCACAATTGTATTTATATGACATCTAAAGAAGATAAAACCGTAGAGACAGAAAGCAGATTAGTGGTTTCCAAGTGAAAGGGGTAGTTGGGGGGAACAGGGCATGATTACTTAGTGGATATGAGGTTTCCATTGGGAATGATGAGAATTCCCAAAGGAAACTGGGAATAGAATTGATGAGAATTCTTTGGAACTAGACAGAGGTAGTAGTTTCACAATATTGATTATCAACTGGGAATGGAATTGATGAGAATTCTTTGGAACTAGACAGAATTGTACAGGGTAAATTGGTTAATTTTTCATATAAATTTTACCCCAATTTTTAAAAATATATATGATATGGCATAAAACTGTTTAAAGTACATCTTGAGAGAGGACCATGTATGGTTGGCAAACAACATAAGAAAATATATACTTTAAAATATATTAGAAATGTCAAACATTTGTACAGTTTGGAAAAGAGGAAAGCCAACTATAATCAGAGTTTATATTGAGTATAGAGATAGTGAATATTGGTTTTCTATTAGCTGATACCAGGTTTTGCTGGGGTTAAAAAAAACACAACAGCAATATTTCAGGCTTACGATGACAATATTCGACAATTGTTTACATGTATGTCAGCTGATATTTGACTTCAGGTTGAATCCATGTCATTTATATTCTAGGGCTGAGGCTGAAGAGGCAACTTCTTTTTCTATCTCATGGCAGAGGAAAAAAAGAAATGGCAAAACCAATCTATGCTTTCAAACTTCTGCTCAGTTGTGGCATATATCATATCTACTCACTTTCCACGGCCAAAGCAAATCATGTAGCCAGGAGTGATGTCAATGGGGTGAGAAGTTTATGCTGCCTCTGGGAGAGGCACTGCAAAACACATGTCAATGAGTGAGGATGTATAATCCTATTACGAGGACAGAGAAAACCTGGATATTACATATAGTACACCATTTTAAAGGATGAGTTGTGGAAAGAACAAAGGAGAACTAACTGACAATATATACAACAGGCATCTCTAGGTCCAAAGATATGAACTTTTCTCCCCCTAACCTGGTAGATATTCCCAAATTGTCCTGTAAAAATGTAATAATTTACTTTCCCACCAGAAATGCATATAAGGCCTTTCCAACAATGTCATTATCAAACTTCTTAAGTGTTGACAATCTGATTAATAAAAAAATTTCATCATTCGTATTTTTCTTTTTTGATTAGGAGAGAAGTTGGATATTTTATGCTTATTGAACATTTCTTTTTCATAATTTATGTACTGCCTATTCAGGTAACTGACAAAGAATCATATTTTAGTATGATCTGAGAAGTGAGCCAAACTGTTAAAATTCTTTCTGTCTGATAAAAGTCAGATTTGAGGTTTAGCTAGTGTAGCTAAGGCCATAAGCTATGTAAAGTAAAAGGATTCTGGACATAGGGATTGTGCTTGACATAGCATGTGCCAGAATTTATTCCTTCTCCTTAATTAAAATATTTTAAGTAGTACCCCAACAAAGATTTATCTACCAGAAATGGAAATAATTTATTTTGAAGGAAAGACTAGGCTCCATAGATTTTGAAATATGAAGTCACGGGCCTGTAGTATTTTGTTCAAACCCAAAAAGGAGGCAAAGATTCCCTGGTCTTGTGCTAGTGTAACACACATCTCTTATGTCTGAGAAAATGCAACCACTCTGCAAGATTCTTCCCAACATTCTTTCATATTTCCTCTGCTACAACATTTCCTAAACTGGATCTCATAGAATTTTAATTTCAATAGATAACGGGAAGGAAAAAGGGATGGAAGAAGAAAATGTGGTTTAATAAATGTGTAAAATACTGCATACCGAATCCTGCCCTCAAAGAACAACTGGTTACCTGTGTGATACAGTCTGAATGTTTTGCTCTGCCCAAATCTCATGTTGAAATTTAATTCCCAGTGTTGGAGGTGGGGCCCGGTGGGAGGTGATTGAATCATGGGGGCAGATTTCTCATGAATGGTCTAGCACCATCCCCCTTGGTATTGTCCTCTTGACAGTGAGTTCTCATGAGATGTGGTCTTTAAAAAGTGCCCAGCACCTCCCCCGCCCTTCTTACACCTGCTTTTGCCATAATTGTAAGCTTCCTGAAGCCTCCCTAGAAGCCAAGAAGATGCTATTACATGCTTCCTGTAAAGCATACAGAACTGTGAGCCAATTAAATCTTTTTCTGTATAAATTACCCAGTCTCAGGTATTTTTTTATAGCAATGAAAGAATGGCCTAATACACTCTGTAAGCTTCACAAGTTATCTGGCCTCGGTTTCCTCATGTGTACAATGAGGGTAATATTAGTGCCCCCCTGGCAGAGTTCCTCATGAGTATTAAACAAGGTAACACAAGCTAAGCCCTGTACCTGAGGCACAGTAGGCACTCAGTGAATTTTCATTCTTATTTTGATGGCTGTAACATTAGCATCTAAAGACTCTAAAAAACTCTGTAGTAAATAAACCTGTTTGGCTTTGTCCATCCAGCTTTCCTGAAATAATCTGACACCAGCAATTGTTTTTCTCACCCAGCATCTTGCACTTTGGGAAATGTGATCTGTTTCCTTTTATCTAATGCCTGAATCAGCAAATGGAGAGAAGTAGGAATGGAGAGAGAGAATGGTCATGCTTCAGATTGGTAAGGAAGTTGTCTTGTTCTCTTATTTCAAGTTCTTCCATGAGTGCCAACCTGAAGAATTGCCCGATTCTTCTGTACTACAGATCACCACAAACAGTTGACACAACTTGTCCAAAAGCAATGCCAACCTTTGTAATTATCTGTGCCTGCTATGAAGCAGTAGAAGGAAAAAATACTCTATTCCTTATTTTCCATATTCCTCCTATTATGCTAAGAGATCATTTTTCTGTGAATACTTTTGAATAACAAATAAACCTGCTGGAAGATTTCAAGAAAAGGAAGTCAGTTCTTTCTCTTGTTATAAATAAGGCACAAATTTCTATGCTCCAAGGATACAGTCCAATTTCTCTTTATTTAGAATTAAGGATAGTATTAAACATAATAAGTATTTCCTCCTGATATTAACAGCTACTTTGTGGAAATTCTTGTGTAAAATACAGAATTGCTCTCCTTAGGTGCTATTGTTGATATGGTTTAAAAGCATTCATTTATTGAATAGCAAACAAGGTCTGTCTTTAACAAGAAGAGCATCCCAGAAACTCTGCAGCTGGAGCAGCTGTCAAAATCATAGTGCTTTCCATCTAATAAAGCTAACCTGATACCTAAGAGCTTTCCCAGCCCCTACCATAGTAGAGATTATGAGATACTTGGCACTTTGGAACAGCCATTTACCCAAAGTAGACAAATAAAAAAGCTGCATTTTATATTGTATCAAAAAGTACATACGGCTGGGCACGGTGGCTCACACCTGTAATCCCAGCACTTTGGGAGCCCGAGGCAGGCAGATCACCTGAAGTCAGGAGTTCAAGACCAAACTGGCCAACATAGCAAAACTCTGTCTCTACTAAAAATACATAAATTAGTCGGGGTGCTGGTGTGCACCTATAATCCCAGCTACTCGGGAAGCTGAGGCAGGAGAATCATTTGAACCCAGGAGGCAGATGTTACAGTGAGCTGAGATCATGCCACTGCACACCAGCCTGGGCAACAAAGCGAGACTCTGTCTCAAAAAAAAAAAAAAAAAGAAAAAAAGAAGTACATAAAATGTAAATGTAAATTAATTTAATGAGGATTTTAATCTACCCACATTATACAAAGTATCTACCAAGTGACTTTTTCATTCTGCATATTTAATAGTAAGTGAAAATTCAAGTCATATTAAGCAGTGCAGCCTAGAAAACTATGTTTAACAGCTTTCAACATTCCTAAAAGGTAAAGATGCCCTGCTTATAACATATGAGGAAAGAAAAATAGCTGAGAGCATTCTGACGTCTGTGAGGTATTCAGAATTTATCAGGGCCATAGAGGTCGATCACACCTGTAATTCCAGCACTTTGGGAGGCTGAGGTGGGTGGATCACCTGAGCTCAGGAGTTCAAGACCAGCCTGGCCAACATGGTGAAACCCCGTCTCTACTAAAAAATACAAAAATTAGCCAGGCGTGATGGCTGGTACCTGTAATCCCAGCTACTCGGGAGGCTGAGGCAGGAAGAATTTCTTGAATCGGGGAGGCGGAGGTTGCAGTGAGCTGAGATCATGTCACTGCACTCCTCTAGCCTGGGCGACAAAGCGAGACTGTCTCCCCAAAAAAAAAAAAGAAAAAAAAGGAAAGAAAAAGAAAAAGAAAAGAAAAGAAAAAATTGGGTGACACCACTTTCCCAAGAAATCCTAGTCTAGCTGAGAGCATTCTGAGCTCTGTGAGGTACTCAAAATTTATCAGGCCCATAGAGATATGAGTACAGAACTTCTAATTGTGCTAAGAAAATCACCTTTTTTCAGGAATCATGAATATTCCACCTCTTTGTTAAAGAAAGTCATGAAAGTAGCATCCCCAATCCCCCTTGTGTGCAACTCTCTTGAGTACACCAATACTCCTCTTTCTTGAGTGTGTACTTTTCATGTTGCAAGAAATCTCTGTACTTTCACTATTTTCTGAATCATCCAAGAATTCCTGCTCAAGATGATGTCAAGAGCCTGGACACCCGTTGGAATCGAGGTCCTACTGGCCTTTGGGAACTTTCCAGAGCCCACTGTTATCAGTACAACAAATTGTTTTAAAACTCTCAGTATTTCATCATTACTTAACCAAGTAAAATTCAAACTCCTTGTTTGCCATATGAGTTTTTTGTGACTATTTGCCTCCATTGTACCTCCCGGACTCATCTGTCATCACTTTCCTCTAGCATTCTTCTTTCCCTGCCTTTTGCTATGCCTGGAATATTCTCTCTCCTACTTCTTCTCATGGCTAATTCCTACTTACAAGCTAGGAACCACCTACTACCTCAGATCACTTCCTCCAGAGTGATCTCTCTCACGCACTCTCACAACCAATCTAGGCTGGGTATCTATCATTCCTGAGGTCATGTTCTAATGTGAATCTTGGCACTGAGTCAGCAATCAAAATCTATTTAATGAGTGAATCAATGCATGAACAAATGAGAATATGATTGTATTGAGTAGCTAAAATGTGAACTGGATAATAAGAGAGAAATGTAGAGCCTATGTTTTTATAGGAGACATTAAGTTTTACTAAGGAAAAACAGCAGGACTCAGACTGAGCCCTCTAATTTGCCTCCTTTTAAAATGGCCACCTAAGCCTTCTTGTTTTCAGAATTATTTCATAGAGTTTTATTCATGAACATTGATGCTATTGCAGCTGAAGTTCCTTGACTTCTCTGAAAATGCTTTTTACCTGGAACCAAAAATCATCCAGGCAAATCCAAATCTCCAGACGCTTCACCCAAATGTGGTTCCAGAGTGGAGCTGAGATCTGAGGCAAAATCATGTTCATCCTTGTACTAAGAGCAACTGGGGCCCAAAGGTTACTTTCCCAACATCCAGCCACCCTGATCAAGTGAGAAGGGAGTGGTCATGAGAATAGGGATGAGTGCCTCCTCCCCTCGACCCACACACTCAGAACATCGCACAGCCTTTAGACATATGGGCAATAGCTCTTGTAAAGCACAAAGTTTCAGGCTGTCTTAGATTTGTCTATTAATATATTCTAGGCCAATTGTGAAGCCTTCTGCAAGCCACAAAATCCTCCGAATGTCAATATTTCCATACATAAAATAAAGGGGGCTGCTAGCATACCTACCTCATGATATTGTTGAATGGTTTATAAAAATGCCCAGTGGGATTTCTTTAGTAGAGGATTCCAACCACAAAATAAGTGCCCATTAACCAAGAGCTAATATTTTTATTTAAATAATTTCAAATTTCTTTTGGAAGGAATAAAATAAAGCGATAAAAGATAAAACCACCTCTAATCATTTTTTAGTTTTGCATAAGAAAATTATTCTTTGTGTGTGTTTCTAGATTCAAACTGTCACTTTTTATACAGACACCAGTCATCAGATTAGGGGCTCACCCCTCATATCAATGAATTATATCTGCCATAACCCTATTTCCAAATAGGGTCACATCTCCCATTAATAAGAATTAGTGATATTTTGCCATCCAATTTCTATTTCCTGTTCAGAGTGGTGGCTATACGGCAGCATACTGATACTACTAGAAAAATAAATGCAACTATTACTGTAATCATAGCCACTACCATTTATTAAGTATTAGCTTTGTGTCAGGAACTGAAATGCAGACTTTAGACGCATTGTTTCACAATTCTCGTAATGGTACTTTGATTTAGGCTTTATTATATCGTAATTTTACAGAGGCTTAAAGAGGTTAAATGGCTTGCCCTAACTCAAACTGCTAGAAAGCGGAAGAGCTAGGAAGACAGAATGTCTGACTCTTGAGGCTAACCACCACACTCTGTTGCTTTTCAGTATGCTGCAGAGAATTAGGAAAGATCTTGAGTGGATGTTAGGCTTTCTTAACTCCCGACACAATCTGGCTGCACAATACCCTGATATGTAGTATATATTCAGAAGTCTGGGATGGGATACATTATTTAAAATTTATTTTCTTAAATTGTTATATATTTTGCATTGTAATGTCCTCCACATTGTTAATTTCCTTATCTTTTTTTACAGGTAGCACAAAGATGTCTTGAGAAGAGAAATGAGAAAATAACTTAAGTATCCAATTCGTTAAAAGTTTTATGCCCTATTTCGAGTGGGAAGCTTGAAGAGAGGGTCTAAGTCTGGGAATAATTGATTGTACCAATTTTGTTGCAGTTTTAGATCATCTCCTTGGGATGGGAAATTAAAAGCCATCTAGTCCAAACACTCAGGAAGCAGGCCAGCCATTGTTATTTTTAAGAAAAAGGCTGAAATGGAAAATCTTAGATGGAAGCTGCAGCTTTCAGTTTGTCTATGCAGCTCTTCAATTTGAACAGAGATTCACTTGAACAAAAGGCATCATTTCAGGCCAGAATGGTCCCCAGTACCCTCCTTACGAAATAAATGGTGTACCTCCATTTGTCAAGTTATCATCTCCCTCCCTTGACAGCAGATGTGAATTTCACGGCATTTCCCATTTCAAAGCCTGTGACAAACTTGGTTTGAAGCTTCTGCTCACAAATGCTCCAAAATGCATTTCACTCATTGCCCTCTAGTGAAATGTACTATTTTCCCCTCCTGATGATTAACTACTTTGAGCACTGGAAACAATATACAGTAAGGTCATTATTGAATCCCCTCAGCTAAAAATATTCATGGGAAAGACTGAGACCTGGCCTCTATTCAGAGGTAGCATGGACCTTTGAGCAAGCCATGTTTGGCTTCTTCAATGGCAACTCAGCGAAGTACAAAGGTATAGATGTTCACAGTTTCAGTTCATAACATCTTAGAACAGGATTCACTTCAAGTTAATGATCTATTTAAAATGAAGCTGGGGTAAGGAAAATAAATAAATGCTTGATGATCTTATTGCTTCAAGAATAATCTTATTTCCTTAATATGATTTGCAGTGAGCAAAATTAAAGTCCATTGATAGCTGTGATACAGAAATGCACAGGGTATGCCCACAAATCATGTTAATTTCTTTATTAAACTATGTGAAATTACATACATTAATTGCCAAACAACTACAAATGATAGTGAAATCTCCGGGGAGAAGAATAAAAAAAATTATCCAAAAAACCATATTAAATTTCCCTTCCTTCACCATCATTCTCACTCCAATCAGTCCTCACAGAAAAGCATCTTATTCCCTTATTTGCCAAGTGTGCTATTCTCCTTCTCAGAATACCCCTATATGTCCTATTTTTCTACCCAGCAGAGCTGACGGTGAAGGACTGGCTCCTCCAGTTTAGCCAAAGTCCCCATCTCTCTGGTTTGCATTGGCAGCATTTAATTGACTACCCAAGCACTAGGGACTCAGATGAATAAGGATATATTCAATTTTAAGAATGAACTAAAGTCCTAAAGAAATATTTGGGCATCACTATCATTACCTGGAGATGTTTTGGCAGGACCTCTCAGATACAGTTTTGAGCCTGGTGTTGACTTGGAATTGACACGGTTCAGACTGAAACAGAAGTTTTTACCTTCATGTGACCTTTATATATAAACAGACTCCTGAGCCCCAGAGCAAGAGATGGGCTGTATTAGCCTCTTTACTTCCTGCTCACACTACTGAAGGAGGTGGCTTCTCCTTTGGTCTCTTGCCTTTCCTGCCCATTCACCTGCCCCACTACTGCCTCCTCAAACTTCTCCTTAGCTCCTGTTTTTTTTCTCTTTTGCTTCTGCAAGAAGGAGCCAAGCCCTGCTGCTTGCTTTAGGACAGCCCCTCCATCTTCTCAGTGATACAGAACATTGACCAGACCTGTAAGAATATTTATTTATTGTATTCAACACAGAGTAGGCTCTTCATAAAAATCTGTATTTTGAATTGCATTAATCCAATTGTTCCCACAGATAATTGGTTCCAGCTTCAACTTAAAGAGTTAGATATAAGACACAAGTTTTTAAAAATTGTAAACATATGATCCTTTGAAATCTTGATCTGAAAGTGCACAGGATCATTTAATCCAATTCAATTGTTGTACAGATTTTTAACAAAAGAAGGTCATTGAAGTTACATAAATGGCTTAATATTCAACAGTTATTACCAAACCCACCAAAGGAAAATCTATTCATAAATACCTGTGAAATAATGAATGATTACTCATTAGGCAATGTGATAAATTCTGTTGCGTATGGTGAATAGGCCACTTTCCATCTCTATCCCTGACCTAACGTAACAATTCTTCATTAAACTGCTTTTCTAATAGGAAGAACTTTAATTAAAAATGTTATCAGATTTCAAGCCCTATGGATGGGGCTTGTGAAATGCCAACATCACACCAATTTCAGAACTCTCCAAATAACACTGAGAGTACAAGTCAATCTCGAGCAACTAAGGATCTTAAAAAAGAAGGAGTTACGCTCTGTTGTTACAATGAGTTTTAAAATGACCCTAAAATTTGAAGGCATTGCTTATAATCCCCAATATGTTTGTTCCACTTAATGAGCCAAACCCTAATGAAATGCCTGTAAATTATATTGGTATCCAAATTCCCAGTGAAATCTGAAATTTTCTTCAATTTCCCGAAAATGTTTGCTCCTCTTTTGTCCCTTCCTCCAGGACACAATTCAGTCAGCAGTAAAGCCATGAACACAGAAAACACATAAATATTTTAGAAAACAAATGTGAGTTGAGTTTCAGCAACAAGTTGTTTAATGCTGTCTTCCACCCGCAGGAGTGAGTGGGACAAAGAAACCACTTGGCACAGAATTAAGATGTTTCACATGCTAATTAAGGGCTCTGTTAGTGGCTTGACATTCAATGATGAGGTACATATTTAAACTCCTTTGGTTTCTGCTTCTAGCTGTGACAAGATTAGATAAACATCTTAGTTAAATGTTAATAAGAAATTATTTTAGTTCAGAGCTTTAATGCTTCATGTGTACTGTGTATATGAGATTCAAACTTAATACATAATTGACAGATTGCTCCTCCACTCCAAGAAGTAGATTAAAACTTAAGAAAAAAATTACCTTAGTAAAATTTTTGATCTTGGCCTTAAGCAGATTTAGCTCATTTTATTATTACTAAGTAGACTTTCATTTTTGCAAAAATGTAGGTAAACAGAATTATTAGGGTCTAAGTTGGATAATCCAAATATTTTTTTAAAAAGTATGACTCTAACAAAAACTACAAATGATTTGACCTGACTTAATGAAAGCATAACAAGTTATTAAAGCTAGCAAATAACAAAAGTAAACATTAGCAAATATACAATAACTACTATGAAGTAACTAAGTACAGGCATAGTGTTCTTCTATTAGATGTCTGAAAATTACCTGCCTCAGAATCACCTGTGCTGATTTTCTCAACTATAAATACCTGACCCCACCTTCCACGTCTTACATCTCTGACTTTGTAATCTGCAATTTTAATAAATTCTCCTCAAATTAAAAATCAGTTTTTATAACCACTTTAACAAAGAGACACAAAACATTATTTCCCTATTTACCCAAGTACATTCAATCTTTTCTTTTCTCTTTCTTTCTCTCTCTCTGTCTCCCTCTCTTTATTTTCTTCTCTCTCTTTTTGTCTTGCTTGGTTGCCCAGGCTGGAGTGCAGTGGCACCCACTTGGCTCACTGCAACCTCTGCCTCCTAGGTGTAAGTGATTCTCCTGTCTCGAATTCCCGAGTAGCTGGGATTAAAGGCACGCGCCAACATGCTGGCTAATAATTTTTGTATTTTTAGTAAAGACAGGATTTCACCATGTTGTCCAGGCTGGTCTCAAATTCCTGACTTCAAGTGATCCACCCTCCTTGGCTTCCCAATGTGCTGGGATTATAGGCATGAGCCACTGCACCCAGCTAGTACATTCAATCTTAATGTCCAGTAAAAGAATTTACTTTTAAAGGAGAAAATTTATTTTATTCTATTGCTCTATAATACCTTCACGTACAAAGTAAATGAAAAGCTAGTTTAAATAAGAAGGACATTTTAGTATGTATTGTACTTTCTAATGCATCAACTTGTTCATTGATTTACGAATATAGAACAGGGAAAGCAGAGAGGAAAAGAATGGGAGCGAGAAATACTTTCATTCACATCTTTACCCATACCAAAGTTATTCGGCTCCTAGAGGATTGTCTGTAGATGATTTCTTTGGAAGGGTATGTTCTATCACATAGGAAAAATGAGATGGAGGGAATAAATGTTCTAAGTATTTTGGAGCAATTGCAAACTGCTTATCCTAATACTTAATATGATCAGTGTTTATTACAAGAGAATGTGAACTCATTAGTGAAGAAGTGGAAAGGTGCAATGAGTAGAACCCTATTTCCCCTCTGGAATCCTATAGAACTCAAACTTAACTGCAGTTGTGAATGGCCTGCTCTACGAATGTGCTTCCAGTAAATGCTTCTTCTGCAAGGTATCAGGTTTGAAATATATTTTCTCAAAGGAAAGACCTTAAATGAAAAGTGTTGTGCCTCAGAAGATTGATTTTGGTTTGCAACAGATCACTTTACTCCTCTTCCTGGTTAGACAAGTAATATCTGCTATTACTTGTACAACAAGAGAGTCTTTGCAAATAAATATTCATAAAAACAAGTCTAGAACAATTATAGTAAAATTAAGCACTCTTATTATAATATCAGGATGCTTTTTATTTCCTTACTGAGATGGTGAACAAAATTAATTTTGCATTCATGCTAAGACTTGATAAAATAAACATATTAATGTTATAATATGATTTTATAGTCAGATAATCAATAATGTACAGCAGTTCCTCAAATAATGTTTCATTCAAGGTCGTTTTGATATAATAATGAGGAGGAAAAAAATTGACTGATAGCAGGAGCCACTGTCTGTGTGGAGTTTACACATTCTCCTTACGTCTTCATGGGTTTTCTCTGAATACTCCAGTTTCCTTCCAAATTCCAAAGATGTGCCCGTTAGGTTCACTGGCATGTCTGACTGTGTATGTGAGTGCACCCTGTGATGGGATGGCATTCTGTCCAGCTTTTGTTCCTGCTTTGACCCTGAACTGCCAGAGCCTCACGATCCTGAGCTGGAGTAAGCAGGCTGGAAAATGAATGAAGGAAGAAATGAATACAAATTATTGTCAAATCAAAATTCATTAAGTCTTGATAATCATGTAAATGTGCAACAATAAATAAGGTATGAAAGTGTTCAGCTCACCTACTGAAGTAGTGAAGGACTTGCCATCCCAGAATATGCTGAATTGGTATATTGATTATTCTGAGTTGAAAACATTGGAGAAATTACAGTTTTGGAAAGGGGAGGTAACTTGTCTCTTCCTGCATGTAGCAAGCCATAAAGAATCCTTTGGGAGAGATGCCCTTACCCACAAGGGTGTAAAAATAGCCCTTAGCAGGTGTGAAAATAGCCCTACTAGAAACTGGGAATTGGAAGATGTAGTAGACCTGAAAAAATACACTTAATAAAGTAACACCTTCCACTACACCCCTCCCTCATATATCTCTCCTAGTAACCTCCCTAAAAATTTACTGCTTCTAGACAGATCTCTTTTTTTCCTTTCATTTCTTCTCAAATTTATTGTTCTTTGTCTAAAAAGCATAAAAGCATCTTCCTTTGGCCATCTTTGGACTTCACTCACTTGTGAAGATTCCATATCTTCATATATGAAGTTTACATATACATGTAAAACTAATAAAGTTTGTATGCTTTCCCCTTGTTAATCTGCCTGGTGTCAAATTGGTTTCTTGATTCAGCCATACAACCCACATAAGAGAAAAAGAGAGGTGATCTCTGGGTCTCCTACAGCAGTATTTCTTCTTGTTTGCTTTTGAACTGCATAGTGGGAGGAGAGTTTCCCTGCAGTTTTCATTTTGCAAACATTTATTATTTGATTTAACCCACCACCACCACGACCACCATCACTCACTGATT